CGAAAAACAAGAAAAATTTTTGTTTACAACTATTTAAACATTTCGACCGAATTGACATGGATAATCATCAACAAATGAACAAAATCGGAAACAACTGCTGGGTCAGTTCATGCTGGAACTGACTGATGGGACGCCGACGCCTGACCGGTCACTAAGAAAGCGGCTTGTCCGCTTAATACCTATTCAGCATCACCTTTAGTCACACAGCAAAGCCTTAAGTTGCGTAAGATCCGTCAAATCTGATCTGTTTGTCAATAAAGTCATGTGAAATCTCAGAAGTGTGACACTGCTTTAGTTATGCGAGTCTTTGCCCAAACTCTCTGTTCAGTTAACCGTGGGTTTACACGGTCAAAGACAAATACCCAAATTTTCAGCCTATTGTAGGAGATTTGTACGTAATCTCTACATATTCTATGCGTAATAGGAAACATCGGCTCTGATCATCCGCGAATCCATGCAATCGGTTCGAGATATTTCTTCTTGTGACGATGTCATTGACCCGCTTGAGGTTTTCTTCCGCTTAGACTAAACAAAACCTTGATATTCAGAGGTCGCTGGCAAACCTTCAAAACCTTCAAATCAGGTCACGGTTCCATGGTACTTGAGCACTTGCAGAGCACTGGATGCAAAGCCGCATCTGTGAGTTGAAATGAACAGCAGCGAGTTCGAACACTAATTGATTACGTCGTTATCAGTAAGCAAATAAATAAACCACGTATAAATATCCAAATTGTGGCTATCACATGTAAAGCGAAATAATCTTTCGCTTTATTTTCTGCTAAGGTGCAGTGCGCACTGGAAAACGCAAGACCACCGCTCAAGTAATTTCTCGAGTCCAGTTACATTTCCGGCCGCTAAACTAAAGCGCATGCAAGTCGAACCTCAGAGTATTGTGAAATGACTAATCGATTAGATCTTCATTTTACAAAATCTGCATTTGAACAATCCTGAGATCCTTTAAATGCATTAATTGATATCCACCATTTCTCTGTATATTAAGCAGTGGCGCACGGTGATGGGCAATTTAAGGTGCATGTATAATCGCCTTCGCTTCATGCACTTTGCTTCGCGCTGTCCCTGACGTCATCACTTAGAGATTTTGTAACATTTTTACTTTTTTCATTTTCAGCATAAGTATTTATTAAGTCTAACCCAAATTAAGTATTTTCAAACAATGTCCTCTGGCTTATAGCAGGCTGTCGCGCTTTCCAGCTATCTGCTCTCCTTGTTAGGTAAATATAGATCAGAAATGCATTAGAGTATTACGCATCATATTCTGCAGAAAAGATACGTGCAAGGGCAACCATCTTTATTCCCTCATGTTATGACAGAAAGCCACAATTATCGATCCACTTCTGTAGAAGGAAACTGTCAGAGGAGGATCGACTGTCGAATTCTCATATCTGTTCTCTTTCTTTGCACCGCCCTTAGTCAGCTGTGCATCCTTCATGCTGCTTCACCGATTATCGCCACCGTAAGTGTTATAGACGTTCAGTTCCTTGCTAAAGGAAGCGAAATCTAATTTGAAAAGAATCTTTTAACGGAACAAATCCTTGTTTATGTTGGACTGCATAAGGAACAGTTTCCGCTACTTTAGATAAATA